AGTTCACCTACAATCAAAGAGCGTTCTGAACCCCACTAATGACAGAATTGGGACAAACCTTCCACACAGAATCCCCATGACCAACAGAAAATACTTAAGGCCATCCCGTCCAACTCCCTTCACCAGGGCAAGAAAACATAATCAAAGCCCTCTTGACAAAGAGCCATCCAACCATAGATATAGAGATATGACTCTCTCACTCACAGATATAGCATCATAGATTTGAAAGGGACCTCAAACAAGGACAATTCTATGTTGCATGCTCCAGAGTAGGCCAACCAGACAATCTCTTTACACACAAGCATAAAGAAATTACATATATTAGAAACCAACACTTTCTCATTACTTTATTTTCCAGATCACCAGACTGGGCCACAGCAATGCGTGGCAGGGGACAGCTAGTATGAAATAAATGGGGGAAAGCCAGCTTGGGAATAGCAGGGGGTGGAGAGAGGACAACCATGCCTCCTCACATTATTTCATTGCCAGTATGGCAGCACAGAAGCATAAGTGACCTATTATACTAAGGTAGGTGTTGGGATTCGGGAATGTTGCTGGATTGGGAGCTATTTATTTGTTAATAGCTAGGAATGGGATAATCGTGGAGTCAAGCCAGACCATCACCATCATCTAAAACACAGACATGTGCTTTTCACCTTAAGAACAGACAAACATCCCGAGCTCTGAGGATCACCTGGGAAGGAATCCCACTGGAGCATTGCAGCACACCCAAATACCTGGGAGTCACTCTGGACCGTGCTCTGACCTACAAGAAGCACTGCCTGAACATCAAGCAAAAAGTGGGCGCTAGAAACAATATCATACGAAAGCTGACTGGCACAATCTGGGGATCACAACCAGATACAGTGAAGACATCTGCCCTTGCGCTGTGCTACTCTGCTGCTGAGTATGCATGCCCAGTGTGGAACACATCTCACCACGCTAAAACAGTGGATGTGGCTCTCAATGAGACATGCCGCATTATCACGGGGTGTCTGCGCCCTACACCACTGGAGAAATTACACTGTTTAGCTGGTATTGCACCACCTGACATCCGCCAGGAAGTAGCAACCAATAGTGAAAGGACCAAGGCAGTGACATCTCCAGCTCATCCCCTGTTTGGGTATCAGCCAGCACGCCAATGACTTAAATCAAGAAATAGTTTTCTAAGATCTAGAGAGACTCACTGGAACACATTAGCAAGCGAGAGTCCACAAGTGGTAGGCTAAAGCCCAGAACCTCAATCAATGGCTGATACCAAATGAGAGACTCCTCCCTGGGCACACAGAAGACTGGGCAACTTGGAAGGCGCTGAACAGACTGCGCTCTGGCACCACGAGATGCAGAGCCAACCTAAGAAATGGGGCTACAAAGTGGAATCCACGACATGCGAGTGTGGAGAAGAGCAAACCACAGACCACCTACTGCAATGCAACCTGAGGCCTGCCACATGCACAATGGAGGACCTTCTTGCAGCAACACCAGAGGCACTCCAAGTGGCCAGATACTGGTCAAAAACATTTAATAGAATACCAAGCCTGCAAACTTTGTGTTTTGTTTGTTTGTTTGTTTGCTTTTAATGCAATACAACTGTTTTGCTTCGCTCCTGTCACAATAACTAAATAAATCAATCAATCACCAAAAGTCTAGCATGACAATCTCATGTGATAAAGTCCTCAGACAGCAGATATCTTCGGTCTTCCTCCTAAGCTTCTTCCTACATTCAGCCGTCAACTGAAACACAGAATTGAGTGCTCAACTGTAGTTTCACTGCCTAATTTCAGCAACCAACATAAACAAGAATCTGTATGATGAACGTATAGACGCTAAAACAATTAATTGCTCTATGAGTAATTAATGTGACATTTTACAAGCGAGTGAGATACAGGATCATCCAAATCCCAGTTCTGACTACCCTTCATCTTTGCTTTCCTTCTACTTTCATTCTTTTTTTAGATTGTTAACTATATCGAGATGCCTATGCATTTTATTTCAGACTGCCTTAATCAAATAAATAAATAAATGCAAACCCTTATAAATTAAATTTTCTGGAAGCTTAATTGGGACTACAGGGGATATTTTCCATTCATAAATGCTGCAGCTGAAAAATAACTTGGCTGTTTCATTTATAGTGTGGAAATGGAAGTGTGACTCTCCTGTTAGCAATGTATATATAGCCAAACTGAAGAAAAGTGATGGCAGCAGTAAAAACTATCTTTGCATGATGACTGATAAGCAGTGAGGAAAGACCATCTCGGAAGCAATCTGTCCTGACAGCTCTGTGATACATGAATGTCTCACACTGTCTGGAATGATGGATAAAGACACCCTTCACCAGAAAAAGATGCTGGCAATTGCATCCAATAGACACATGTGGGGTGATGGCACACAGAGTGCATGTGCCAGAGTGACTAAATCCTGGCAGCCAGGATCACCCTATTCTGCTACATGGAAGCTGCATGTGCAAATTCATTTCCTGCTGAATACCAGATCTGGAGGGTCAATGCCAACTTGGATTGCTTTGGTGAATGAATGAGACATTCAAGATGAGCAAAGTCCAGTGTGAAACATGTGGTATTCCCAGTAAACCTTTCTTGGGCCTATGTTTGGATGTTCACATAACCCTAGCCGCATTTCTTTCCACAGTTCTAAGGCAATGTAAAAAGCTCAAAAGAGTAATCTTCTTTTTAAAAGGTTGTGTTTGTGGTTAAAAATAAAGATATAAAGAGAAAAGTGGTGGGAGGAGTAGAGAAATATAGTGGGAGAAGTGGGGGGGAGAAAAAAAAATAAAAAATGGAATACGAACAAATCTGTAAAGAATGTGAATGGATAATATAGAAATATGTTATTTATTTATTTTTATTTACGACATTAATATGCCGCCCTTCTCACCCCGAAGGGGACTCAAAGCGGCTTACAAGTAAAAAGTAAATACAATATATATTATTATCATAGCACAATATTAATATTATATATTACATTGTATTATATATAACAATATTCTGTAATATTATTAGTAATATTACATTTAATATAAAATATATAATTATATTATTTTAGTAGTAGTAATATATTGTATTACATTATAAAATTATCAATATTATATGTATATACAATATATTACATTACATTAGATTATAAGCACAGTGCAGGAGACAAGATGGAACTGCCTTCCTGGCCCCTCTCTTCACTCTGATCTCAGAGCAGCGGTTGGTGCTGGAGGGGGAGCTCTCAACTGATGACACTGGAGACAAGATGGAACTGCCTTCATGGCCCCTCTTCACTCTGATCTCAGAGCAGCGGTTGGTGCTTGGGGGGGGGGGCCAACTGATGACACTGGAGACAAGATGGAACTGCCTTCATGGCCCCTCTCTTCACTCTGATCTGAGAACAGCGGTTGGTACTGGGGGGGGGCTCCCAACTGATGACACTGGAGGCAAGATGGAACTGCCTTCATGGCCCCTCTCTTCACTCTGATCTCAGAACAGCGGTTGGTGGTGGGGGGGTGTTCCCTAATTGATGACACTGGAGGCAAGATGGAACTGCCTTCATGGCCCCTCTCTTTACTCGCTCTCATATGTAAAACTACTATGCCATTTTGCTAAGTTATAGAAATAATTTTATTTTTATTTTATTTTTTATACCCTGCCCACCATCTCCCCTAGGGGACTCGGGGTGGCTTACAAGGGACAAGCACGAAAATTACAAATAAAACACAACTGATTAAAAACATCAGATAAGATATAAAAACAACCACAATTGTAAACGACATCAAAACAATATGGCTGAGAAAAAAAACATAGCTGAGGTACAGGCTCACTGAGTGCAATACATTATTTATTCATTTATTTATTTATTTACAGTAATCATATTCCGCCCTTCTCACCCCAAAGGGGACTCTGGGCAGATAATAATAATAATAATAATAATAATAATAATAATAATAATAACTTTATTTTTATACCCTGCCAAACATCTCCCCTGGGGACTCAGGGCAGCTTACAAGGGACAAGCCCAAAATTACAATTAAAACACACAATTAAAACACTTTAACCAATTAAAACATCAGATAAAACAAATTCAACACAATTGAAAGCAATATAAAAACAATTGAAAGCAATATAAAAACAATATGGCTGAAAGAAACATAGCTGAGGTACAGATTCAATGAGTGCAATACATTTTTACAGGAGCGAAGGAAAGTGCAACAATACAGTAAACTGGGCAGGAAATACTGTCATAACACATGATGAGGTAGATCATATGCTGGTGTAAAGTGCGGGTCGGTGTAAAGTGCAGAACTTCAAGTAGGGATAGGAAAGTTACTGGTAAGCTGCTTAATCAAAAGCACACTGGAACATCCAGGTTTTTAATTTAAAACATTAACATATAATAATAATAATAATAATAATAATAATAATAATAATAATAATTTATTTGTACCCCACTACCATCTCCCCATATATTACATTATCATAATGTAAACCTACAATAGACATTTATTGTCTGTTCAAATATGTTATTTTGTTTTCAATAAAAAATTAAAAGGAATAATCTTATTTCATGCAAACTGGGAGAGAAGAGAGGTGGAAAGAGAAACAGACACTCGTCTTTCCTCTTACTCTAAGCTAGACATAGGAGACAACGTGGCTCCCATGTCTGTCACTGAATTGCAACTCCCATCAGTCCGAGTTAGCACAAACGGTGCCGAATGCTAGAAAAGATAATTCAAAAATAGCTGGAAAGCCTTATGAATCTCATCTCTGGTCTAGACCTTAGATTCTTTCCCATTGCTTCTGAGCATCTCTAAAGTCAGCTTTTAAACAGAGACTGGACTGCCAGGGCCGGGGTGCTCTGATTGTGCTTTTCTTGCTTGGCAGATGGTTGGACTGGATGGCCCATGTGGTCTCTTCCAACTCTATGATTCTAACTAACTAGCCATCAGGGCTAGAAAACCTGTAGACCGCTCTCTAGGATCAGAGTTACTTGTGATACAGCACCTTTTCCCGTAAGAGGCATTCCAGCTGACTCAGTGTTCTTGTTCGGGTGTCTCCAAGATTCCTTGACCTATAATCACAATCATAATCATAGCAAATTAACCACAAGGGCCTGCAAAACTTATCTTACTATCAACATGTGCAGGAGAGTCAACATTTGAAGGCTATAGATCTAGCAAGAGATAGCAGTAGCAGTGAGGCTGAAGACAGATAAATTAAAGAAGCAAGAAAGAAGGATGCATCTGACAATCGAAGTCCTGGTCTGAGTCTCTACGGAGGTAGAGAAAATCGGGATATAAAAGTTTTAAATAAATAAATAAATAAATAAATAAATATAATTAGACTAGCAAGGTGGGAGTGAAAATCAGTATCCTTCAGGGTGGCAACCTGTGCTTGATGGGGTTGCACTCCCCCTGAAATTACAGGTCCGCAGCTTGGGTGTCCTCTTAGATTCAGCGCTGACACTTGAAGCTCAGGCGTCGGCGGTGGCTGGGAGGGCCTTGGCACAATTGAAGCTCATGTGCCAGCTGCGACCGTACCTCGTGAAGTCGGATTTGGCCACGGTGATCCACACCTTAGTTACCTCTAGATTGGATTATTGCAATGCACTCTACGTGGGGCTGCCCTTGAAGACGACCCAGAAATTCCAACTAGTCCAACGGACGGCAGCCAGATTACTAACTGGTGCGAATAACAGAGAGCAGTCAACCCTCCTGTTTAAGGAGCTCCACTGGCTGCCATTTATTTTCTGGTCCCAATTCAAGGTGCAGGTTCTGACCTGCAAAGCCCTTAACGGTTTAGGACCCGCCTACCTGCGTGCCCACATTTCCGTCTACGAACCCACGCAGCCTCTTCTATCTTCCGGAGAGACTCTTCTCTCACTCCCGCCCTCATCGCAAGCGTGACTCGTGGAGACGAGAGAGAGGGCCTTCTCTGTGGTGGCCCCCCGGCTCAGGAATTCGCTCCCCAGAGATATTAGGCAAGCCCCCACCCTGGCAATCTTCAGGAGGAGCCTGAAAACTTGGTAATTCCAATATGCCTTCAATGATTGAATGTAAGATACTCCCTGGCCAAACTCTGCATAGAATGACCCCAGAAGCACTTTATTTTATGGTCCGTGCAATTAAATCCTACCTCATCCTTGGATCCCCTCCCTTATTTTTACTTTGTCCTATCTCCCAGTGTTTTAAAAAATTATCTTTGAATTTGACCCTGCCCAGTGTGATTATTTGTGTTTTAATGTTTGATTTCATGCTGCTGTGTCGCTTATTGATCTTGGTTTTGCATTTTATGTACTTTATTTTCTGATTTTCCGTTGTGTTTTTGTGTTATATTGTATTTACTGTATTGATGGGTGTGGCCTTATGTAAGCCGCTACGAGTCCCCTTGGGGGAGATGGAGGCAGGGTATAATTATTATTATTATTATTATTATTATTATTATTATTATTATTATTATTATTGTCGAAGGCTTTCATGGCTGGAATCACTAGGTTCTTGTGGGTTTTTTCGGCTATAGGGCCATGTTCTAGAGGCATTTCTCCTGACGTTTCGCCTGCATCTATGGCAAGCATCCTCAGAGGTAGTGAGGTCTGTTGGAAACTAGGACAATGGGTTTATATATCTGTGGAATGTCTAGGGTGGGGCAAAGAGCTCTTCTCTGCTGGAGCTAGGTGTGAATGTTTCAACTGACCACCTGATCCTCTCACCTCTGCAGGAGTCTACCGTATACCATGCAGCTGTGGACAAGTCTACATAGGGACCACCAAACGCAGCATCAAGGAACACGAAATCAAGGAACACGAAAGGCACTGCAGACTACTTCAACCAGAGAAGTCAGCCATAGCAGAGCACCTAATGAACCAGCCTGGACAGAGCATGTTATTTGAGAACACAGAAATGCTGGACCACACCAACAACCACCATGTCAGACTACACAGAGAAGCCATTGAAATCCACAAGCATGTGGACAATTTCAACAGAAAGGAGGAGACCATGAAAATGAACAAAATCTGGCTACCAGTATTAAAAAACTCTAAAATTACAACAGCAAAACAGCAGAGAGGAAACAACCAGGCACATCTTAACACCTCTCAACAAAAGATTTTCCCAGGCTCAGCCAGGCCTTCAAATGCTAATGAAGGTGGTCAGTTGAAACATTCACACCTAGCTCCAGCAGAGAAGAGCTCTTTGCCCACCCCAGCCATTCCACAGATATATAAACCCATTGTCCTAATTCCAACAGACCTCACTACCTCTGAGGATGCTTGCCATAGATGCAGGCGAAACGTCAGGAGAAATGCCTCTAGAACATGGCCCTATAGCCCGAAAAAACCCACAAGAACTTATTATTATTATTATTTTCAGTATCCAGTTGGATCCAGTTACCCCAGGCTCTATAATTGCCTTTCCCTAAAGAAATGGGACACACAAGATGCAGATGTGGCCATTGATTGTCCAGTCTCTTATTCAATCGAGGTTAGATAGTTCAGGTATGGATGTGAGAGCTGGACCATAAGGAAGGCTGAGTGATGGAATATAGATGCTTTTGAATGGTGGTGTTGGAGGGAAATTCTAAGAGTGCCTTGGACCGCGAGTCCATACTTGAGGAAATAAGGACCAACTTCTCATTGGAGGGAAGGATATTAAGGAAAAGATGAAGTTCTTTGGCCACGTAATGAGAAGATGGAAAGCTTAGAGAAGACAATGATGCTGGGGGAAATGGAAGGAAAAAAGGAAGAGGGGCCCATCAAGGGTAGGATGGTATCTTGAAGGGACTGGCTTGACTCTGAAGGAGCTGGGGGTGGTGACGGCCGACAGAGAGCTGTGGCGTGGGCTGGTCCATGAGGTTACAAAGAGTTAGAGGTGACTGAATGAATAAGCAACAACACTCTGAGAACCTATTTGTTTGCCCTCAGCCCTAACAAAGCTCTGGGTTTAAGTTTGTTCCTTTGTTTGTTTGTACACATACATCTACAGCTCAAAACATTTGCTTTAAAAAGGCCACAGGGTTTTTAACTCAGATGAGAACACAGTCCTAAAGTCATTTATTTAAATATTTAAGGAGGAAACACAGAAACGGCAGCAGTATCTATCATGCTCCAGTAACAGATAAACATATATTTTAAATCAACGGGCACCCAACAGAATTGACTCTAGTCTGTGAAAATTAATACCCTAATAAGTTTGTTTTCATGATACCATATGTCTTTATGTTGCTCTTGCTAAAATAAAGAGTTTTTTTCCCCGCTCTGGAAAATGAACAACAATATCTCACAAATGTGATTAGGTTTTGCACCCACATGCCAGCTTTGGTGTACAGAGTATTGCAAAGTTGCCAATAGCAATACACGTGTTAATTGTGACTTCCTGTCTATGGAATTTTGAAGGAATTAGAGTGTGTCATTTGACCTACTCTTGATCAAATCTAGTAGTATAAAAAGTTTTCCTTGATTGGTATTCTTACAGGTCATCCTTTGCACAGAGATGAGTTGGCAAATTGTCATGACACAATGCCACTGGTATAAGTATGATTCAGATCAACTGAGGTGTCTAGAGATGCATCTACACTGCATTTATTTTTTTTTTGGGGGGGGGGCTGTTCCATTATAGAGGTGGAGGCCACTGGAGGTGCTAGAGATAGAAGGATAGTCCATTTTATGGGGGGGGGGGACTTTCCACCCTCATTTCCCCTGTTTTTGCTGGTTATGTCCCTCCCCCCGTTCCATATCACGAGAGTTGTTTCGATGATGGGGACATGGGGGAGAGGAATAGCAGGAACACAGGGGAAAATGGTTTTCCCCCTTCAATCCACTTTCCACCTCCAATAAAATGGATTGTCCTTCTCCCTCTAGTGCCCCCTAGTGGCCTACGTCTAAATAATAGAACAATACCCTTTTCTTATTTTTTATAAATTTATTTATTTATTTGTTTGTTTTACAGTATTTATATTCTGCCCTTTTCACTCCGCAGGGGACTCAGGGCGGATTACAGTGTACACATATATGGCAAACATTCAATGCCAATTCGATATACAACGTATATAGACATACACAGAGGCTATTTAACTTTTTCTGGCCGCCAGGGGAGCTGTCGCTTTCATTGTCCATCTGCGACACTGATGAAGTACTTCCGCATTCCCTGCATGCTTTGCTGGAGTGCTTTTTGCTGGAGTCTTTTTTATGGCATGATAAATTAGTTAATTAGCCTCCCCACACATAGGTGGCACCTAATTTTCCTACTTGACAGATGCAACTGTCTTTCGGGTTGCAAAGGTCGACAACAAGCTACACAAAATTGGCCGGAAGCTCACTCCGACCCGGGCTGGCTTCGAACTCATGACCTTCTGGTCAGAGTGATCTTAATGCAGCTGACACTCAGCCAGCTGCACCACAATCCCGGTGCTAAATTTAAACTTTATTTACTTATTTGAAATTGTGTAACATATTGCAATTGACTTATTACATTATTTGTTTGTTTATTTATTTATTTATTTTATTTACTATATTTATATCCTGCTCCTCTCACCTCAAAGGGGACTCGGAGTGGCTTACAGTATGGCAATATTCAATGCCATATATATAACAAAGGAAGAGGGGCCGACCAAGGGCAAGATGGATGGATGGCATCCTTGAAGTGACTGGACTGACCTTGAGGGAGCTGGGGGTGGTAACGGCTGACAGGGAGCTCTGGCGTGGGCTGGTCCATGAGGTCACGAAGAGTCGGAGACGACTGAACGAATGAACAACAACATATATAACAAGTAAAATACAATATTTCACTTACATAAAACAAAATAAAACATATAAATACCATAAAACTGTCAAAACTGTGATACTTAGTCCAGGAATCGACAACTGTGTTGCTACAATTATACTATTATCTAAACGCCTGGTTCCACGACTGTGTCTTCACTCTTTACCTGAAAACCAGGAGGGAAGGGGCCAGTCTGATGTCACTGGGGAGGGAATTCCACAACCAAGAGGAAACCACTGAGAAGGCCCCGTCTCTTGTTCCCACCAGTCACGCTTGCGAAGGTTGTGGYACCAAGATCGGGAGGTGGGACCAAGAGCAGGGCCTCTCAGCTCCCACCAGTTCATAGGGAGATATATGTTTGGACAGGTAAGTTGCCAAATCTGTAGATGCCCCCAACATCATTCATATAGAGTTACAGAAATTCAGCTCTGTCAGTCCTATTACATTTACTTAGTCTAATTTCATCAAKTGCATATKATTGTTACAATATGCTAGCCATCCCCTGCCATGCATTGCTGTGGCCCAGTCTGTGTATATATTTGTGTATATGTGTGTGTGTGTGGTTTTGCGCATGCGTTGTAATGTAATTTTTGGTTTTTTGGCTTTTTAAGTCTCTTGTGCTCTGTTTTTCAGTGTTTTTATGAGTGATGGTCACTCATTGGCCTGATAGGTGCATTGTGTCCAAATTTGGTGTCAATTGGTTCAGTGGTTTGTGAGTTATGTTTTTTACTTACTTTTACTTTTTTACATTTTTACTTATATAYATTTTCCAGTTGTTTGTCCACAATCTTTCTTAGTTGTCTGGTGCTTTGAATGTGCCATTACTTTTACATAAAAAGCTTATACGTTGTTTCCATGTATTATCAAGCAGATATTCCTTTATTTCTCCTTTTGTTAATCTTAATTTATACACTGCATTAATTCTACACTATAGAACCAGCCTACAAGTGAAGAAATAAGAAAAACTACATTCAGAGGTGGGGAAAATATTTTCTGATAAAATCATGGCATGGGGAAAATCGAATATGAAGACACAAGGAGAAGAGGAACTATTATTTCAGTGGTGTACTTCTACCGTTACTATATGGACCTCAAAACAGAAATAGATAAAATCATAGGAAAGTTCTTACTTCATACTGATGAGATCGAGTGGCTTAGCAAATCTCGACAAGAACTCAAGATAGGGAACACAAACTTGGTTACTGCCAGGAATCTGTTTCAAATACAAAGATGTCATATGAATGCTCTTTCAAGGCATGTCTTTCATAAAAATAAATCATTGTGTTGTCCCCATTATTTGACAGGGAATGTAACATGTGATCTCTTGTGTTCAGATTTCTTTGCATTTTACATTATAAACCCATTTAAGCATTTATTTATCACTTCCCAACTTGTCAGAGCTCCCGAGGCAATGCATAACAAATAAAAAGAATTTAAAAAAACCTTTTTAACATCCATCATCATTAAAAACAAATGACAACAATTCTAAAAACCAACCACTAAAACTAGTTTTAAGTACCAAAGTCAACTTGCCAATCAGCTGCTAACTCTGTTGGGATGGAGCTGGCTGAAGCCGGGAGTTTTACAACTGAGTGCTGCCACAGAGAAAATCTTGTCTTATGTACTCACAGCTGTTCCATAGTTAGTTATTTCTCTCTCAACAGCTCCTTCAGAGTTACCAGTGACCTCTTGCTGGCATCTCTTACTAAAGCCCTCATTACCTAGTTGCCGAAGATGCTTCTGCATTGCAGAATTAATGCAGTTCGATGCTATTTTAGCAGCCATGGCTCTGTCCTATGGAATCCTTGGATTTGTTGTTTGGTGAGGCATCAGCACTCTTTGACAGAGAAGGCTAAAGATCTTGTAAAACTATAACCCTCATGATGCCATGTCATTGAGCTATGGCAGTCAAAGTGATATCAAACTACATTAATTCTACAACATAAACATGAGTTTTAATAGACAACCTTCTCTGGGCAGAGTTGCAAGTGAATCCTATACTTTCTATTTTGCATAACATGCATGTAACAGTACCTGGGGTCCCTTCAACACAGCTAAGTAAAATCCCACATTATCTGCTTTGAACAGGAATATATGTTCACACTGAATTCAAAATGATCTTAACAGATTAGAGAAATGTATTTTTTGTATCAAAAGCATTGCATAAATTAGTATAAATTAGTATAAAACTGATAAAATAGAAAGTGTGCAGGCGGCTAAATATCTTTTGACCAAAAACGGGCAACTGCAATGGCATTGTCTGTAGCCTCCAACAATTCCTCCTCTGTACATGAGGCAGAGCATAGTGGACAAGCATACAGATGTGGAGTTGTCTGTTCTGCTCCACAGTCACATAAGGTGTGGGATTCTTTTAGGTAGTGCCATTTTGTCAGGTTGTCTTTTGATCTTCCCAGCCTCCAACAATTCCTCCTCTGTACATAAGGCACAGCATAGTAGACAAGCATACAAACATGGAGTTGTCTGTTCTGCTCCACAGTCACATAAGGTGTGGGATTCTTTTAGGTAGTGCCATTTTGTCAGGTTGTCTTTTGATCTTCCCAGCCTCCAACAATTCCTCCTCTGTACATAAGGCACAGCATAGTAGACAAGCATACAAACATGGAGTTGTCTGTTCTGCTCCACAGTCACATAAGGTGTGGGATTCTTTTAGGTAGTGCCATTTTGTCAGGTTGTCTTTTGATCTTCCCAGCCTCCAACAATTCCTCCTCTGTACATGAGGCAGGGCATAGTGGACAAGCATACAGATGTGGAGTTGTCTGTTCTGCTCCACAGTCACATAAGGTGTGGGATTCTTTTAGGTAGTGCCATTTTGTCAGGTTGTCTTTTGATCTTCCCAGCCTCCAACAATTCCTCCTCTGTACATGAGGCAGGGCACAATGGACAAGCATACAGATGCAGAGTTGTTTGTTCTGCTCTGCAGTCACACAAGGTATGGGATTCTTCTAGCTCAGTGGTTCTCAACCTGGGGTCCCCATATGTTTTTGGCCTTCAACTCCCAGAAATCCTAACAGCTGGTAAACTGGCTGGGATTTCTGGGAGTTGTAGGCCAAAAACATCTGGGGACCCCAGGTTGAGAACCATTGTTGGGTAGTGCCATTTTGCCAAGTTGTCTTTTGATCTGCCCACTCCACTTCTGAGTCTATTCAGGGACTTCCAGGTTGCCCATTCTTGGTTTGCCCCTGGAGGAAGACCCTCACGGGTGGGGTGCATCCAGTTGGGATTTCCTGATTTAGCTGCCCAGTGGATACCCTTGCTGTTGTTGGAAGGATGTCAAGAGGAGTGGCAGTTCTCATAAAGCTTTTCCTTGATTTGAGTCTGTTGATTAGCATTGCTTTTAATTAGAGAGATGGTTGGCCAAAACTAACAAAATGAAGTTCAACAGTGACAAATGCAAGGTCTCTCAAACTAATTTCTTGACGTGTCGAGATCAGTGCTTTACAACATTGTTTCTGAACACCTGAAGTTTAGGAAACTGTGCTCCTGTTGGGTCCCGAAACTTCTAACAGAGGACCACAAAAACCAAAGATTTGAGTGTGCGATCAAATCAAATCGTCTGTAATTAAAGAAGGGCGACCGGAGCGGTCCTCATCATGGACGTTGTCACAGCCATCTTTGAATTGTTGTACCCACTTATGCACTTTGCTTTCACTCATAACAGTATCGCCGTACACTTCACAAATCTGTCGATGAATTTCTGCAGCAGGCAGGTTCCTTGCTGACAAAAACCGTATCACTGAGCGAACCTCACATGCGGAGGGTGAGTTGATAGTCTTAAACATTTTTAAAGCACAGAACAGAACCGTACAGGTTAGCTACAGAGCGGAAACTGAGCACAGTTGTTGCTGAGGCATGCCAGTACACAACGCACGCCCTTGTTGCGGTATGCGCTTGAACTACTATTGTCTACAACAAAACGGCCCTTACTTTAAATAATAGTTTGTAGTTACCACTGTAGGCATAAGAAAATATATGCAGATTCAAACCAGTATTTGGTCCAATAAAGTTTGTAATATTTCATTATATGTCTGCGTGTACTTAGCTCACTAATAACTGAAAAGTATACTTAATACTCATGAAGGTACCCACCTTTGTCAGCAAAGTATCAAACTGTTCCTGTGTCAGTGGCAACATGAAAGTTTCGATGACTCTTCTAAATTCACCCTTTGTGACTTTCAGGGTGTGATCAATGTCAATTGTCTGAAATGCCTTTTTGAGTTCATCTTCTTTGGCAACTGCCTTCTGAAACAAAATCTTCTCAATATCCAGGAAGGACAGCGTGGGATCAGGAACAGAGCCGACAGCTATAAAACACATTACAGAGTCATAAAGCCTTCTTAAGCCCAGTACAAACTAAGTTCTATGTAGAGACCCAGCTACATAGAATGTTATTTTCTACAATATCACTCTTCAAATGTAATATCTGTATTATTCAAGATTCTCAGAAGACATGGGGAAAGAGATAGGATTTTATCATGACTGCATCATTTCCCTTGATGAGTTGATACAGAGCCCAGAAACGTTTTGGGGGATGTATTTACTTAGCTTCCCCAAAAATCAATGTTACCTCCCTATTTACTTGAATCTAACACCTTTTTGGGCTAAATTACCTCACCAAAATTAGGTATGCATTAGATTAGTGTAGTGGCAGCCACCTCTCCACCAAAGTCAACATCGACACCGAAATACAACACCGCCTGAGCTCTGCGAGTGCAGCATTTTCCCGAATGAAGCAGAGAGTGTTTGAGGACCAGGACATCCGTAGGGATACCAAGGTGCTTGTCTATAAAGCTATTGTCCTCCCAACCCTGCTCTATGCCTGTGAGACGTGGACTGTCGACAGACGTCACATGCAACTCCTGGAACGATTCCATCAGCGCTGCCTCCGGAAAATCCTGCAAATCTCTTGGGAAGACAAGCGGACAAACGTCAGCATGCTGGAAGAAGCAAAGACCACCAGCATTGAAGCGATGGTCCTCTGCCATCAACTCCGCTGGGCCGGCCATGTTGTCCGGATGCCTGACCACCGTCTCCCAAAGCAGTTGCTCTACTCCGAACTTAAGAACGGAAAACGGAACGTTGGTGGACAGGAAAAGAGATTTAAAGATGGGCTCAAAGCCAACCTTAAAATCTCTGGCATAGACACTGAGAACTGGGAAGCCCTGGCCCTTGAGCGCTCCAGCTGGAGGTCAGCTGTGACCAGCAGTGCTGCAGAATTCGAGGAGGCACGAGTGGAGGGTGAAAGAGAGAAACATGCCAGGAGGAAGGCGCGTCAAGCCAACCCCGACTGGGACCGCCTTCCACCTGGAAACCAATGCCTTCACTGTGGGAGAAGATGCGGGTCAAGAATAGGGCTCCACAGCCACCTACGAATCCACAAGGAAACCCATCATGGAAGACCATCTTACTCGTCCAATGAGGGATCGCCTAAGTACGTAAGTAAGTAAGTAAGTAAAGTAAGATTAGTGTAATATGGTAATCTTAGTGCTGAGCCAAAGCAAAAGGGGAAGCTGCTTCATGAGCACCTGGAGCTCGAATTTGAAGGACTTCAGCTCTAATTTAATGGCAACAGCCATGCACGTAACCAGGATTTTGATTCGGGGGGTGCGGAGTTTGATTGGGGGGTGCAGAGTTGGAGGGGGGGGCTGAGGATCTACCCTAGCAAACCTTTTGTATTGTTATCCCAATACCCCCATGCATATGGGAGCATGGTGATCAGATCATGATATGAATAAACATAACAGTTTAAATAATGTACCAGTAAAGCCTTCTCGCGGACCACCCTGAGAATTTCGGGAGGGCTGAAGCCCCTCAAGCTGCCCTCCCCCAGCTACATGCCTGGCCACAGCTCAATGCTATGGTATTTGTAGTTTAGTGGGGTGTCAACATTCTTTGGCAGAGAAGGCTCAATGCCTTGTAAAACTACAGCCCCCATGACTCCATAGCATTGAACTAAGGCCATTAAAGTGGATCATTCTCTGTGAAGAACAATCAGGCTTCCGACAGGGAAGTTCAACCATAGATATGTGCTTTGTCCTGGAGCACATAATTCAAAAGTATAAAACAAGGGGGGTGAGTCTGTATTCCGCATTTATAGACATGTCTTCAGCGTTTGACACAATCTGCCGCAACACACTATGGGAAAAGTTCACTGCCACAAACACTAACAGAAGATTACACTTACTTGAATGTGATTTGGTTGAGCTTTGTAAACTGCTGCCACTGCTGCTACTTGCTGACGATCTTGTTGAGGATGTGGATTGGAGTCTTGGATTCATCACAATTCCATGGGATTGAGGATATAGAGTACTGTAATCAGCTGCATTAACTACTCTAGACATGATTCCTATGGGAAATTAAAAGAGTTAGTCCCATCTACAAGAACATGAAACAAAATGAGGCAAAGCAAAAGGGGAAGCTGCTTAAATCAGATTAAATAAGTGGCTTTAAAAATCGTGGGACCCAACAGCAAGTCCAGACACAGACCTGTCAATCCTGGGAAATGATCCCCCACTGTCCTGACACCTTCTTTTGTAATGGATTTTACAAGTCCGTAAGATGAACAAGGGACATCCAGTGGAAGTTTTTTTTAAAAAAATTCTCTCCGAGATGCATTGAATCGTATATGCGCTTCTGAATAGCTCAATGTACACACAATCAGATTTCTTATTCTCTCTCTTCATCCAACTATAAATTCAAGCTCTGTTGAATTTACTAAAGATCAAAACAAAGGGATGGTTGAAGAAGGTTCTAATTGTAATTAGTCCAGCATGAGGCAGCCAGATTACTTACCAGAGCGTCATACAGGGAGCATACCACCCTCCTGTTATGTCAGCTCCACTGGCTGCCGATCCAGTTCTGAGCACAATTTAAAGAGCTGGTTTTGACCTACAAAACCCTATACGGTTCCAGCCCAGCGTATCTGTCCGAACGCATCTCCCTCTACGTCCCACCTCAGATTTTAAGATCTTCCAGGGAGGCCCTGCTCTCGACCCTGCCTCTATCACAAGTGAGATTGGCGGGGATGAGGAGCAGGGCCTTCTCGGTGGTGGCCCCTCACCTGTGGAATTCACTCCCTGGGGAAATTAGATCATCATCATCCCTCTTTTCCTTTAGAAGGAAATTAAAGACATGGATTTGGGACCAGGCGTTTGGGCAATCTGGCAGATAAATAAATAAAGGACAACGACGACTGATAGGAATGGAAAATGTGGAATGAAACTATGGACTCTGAGTTGTGAATGTTGAGCATAAGATTGGTTTTTTGACTGTGATATATATATTGATTGTTTTAACTGTTATAACTGTTTTAATTGCTGCCTATATTTTATCTGTATTACTGTGTAGGCATCGAATTGTGCCTTTTTGTAAGCCGCCCCGAGTTCCCCTTGGGGGTTGAGAAGGGCGGGGTAGAAGTACACGAAATAAATAAATAAATTGTAACTGCTTTCCAATTGTGCTGCCATTTAACCACCTGTGTGTCTGTGGCTCCATTTTTGACAGCTCTGGTCAGCTGTTTTAGGCTTTTAAAATGTGCACATGTGGTGGAACAGTCCACACCAAGGTATAGGAAGGAAGTCACATGTTTTCCATGGCTGCTGGGATATACAGTCATGTGACTATGCACATTTTTGGGGCAGAATCAGATTTTAAGTGCACCTTTTAAACTCAGGCTTTTCAGCTGTTAACCCGATTCAGGGCCTCCGGCACTCCTCAGGTCGCTCTCCTTCTTCCTGTCCAGGCCTCGCACGAAGCYTCTCTTCTCCCGTGAGACAACGTTGTCTCGTGGGAGAAGAGGCACTTCTCTCGAGGCATGGACAGAAAGGAGAGTGGCCTGAGCAGCGCGGGAAGCAGCRCAGGGGCCCGGCTGCCAACAAAGGAGAAGAAGGAAGGCAGCCAGGAAGGGAGGAAGGACGGGGAGCCTGCCCAAGAGGCCGCCATGAGCCAAGGCGGAGGAGGAGGAGGGAGCCCGAGGCCAAGGCAGCCACAGTYTGTAATTTTATTATTATTTTAATTTTATACCCGCCGTACTAGATGACCCCCAAAATTTTATAAGGTTTTACATGCCTAAAAAGTCATCTAGTACCCCGGAATATACGGTAAATTATGACGATTGAGGATGAAAAACAGTGGCTTGCTTTGCATTTCAAGATCATATTAGAGTTGTGAGCAAGAAATGTGTTGCCCATCTTGCTCCAAGTTCTTACAGACAGTCACCACTTACAACCATTCGCATGTCTATTTTGTGTTTTAATTCAAAAACAAAAGCTGTTTGTTTCATAAATAAGGAAGTATCCCATCATAGCTAGAGTTTATGAATTCTTTGTTTTGTATTTTCTCCTTTAAAAAAATCCTACTCATAAATAATGTGTTTACCATTATAATTTGCAGAGAGCTGCCGAGGAGAGAAATTATACTGATTTTTTCCACAGTTTGAAATCATTAGCTACATCTCATGTTTAATTATGAAACCTGGAAGTAACAACCTGCTGCTATATTAAACTGTTGGAACCAAGTTCCCACTTTTAGGTCTCTTCTACACTACACTAGGGGGAGGACCTGAGCTGACACAACAACTCTTCACCAGCTCATAGAAAAAGTGTGGGTGACAGAAAATCCCAGCAGATTTCAAGGATGCCACCATCATCACCCTCTTCAAAAAAGGGGAAAGAACAGACTGTGAAAACTATCAAGGTATCTCCCTTCTAACCTCCGCTGGGAAAATCCTCGCAAGAATCCTTGCAAACCGCCTTCTACCCTCTCAGAAGACACACTCCCAGAATCCCAGAACAGCTTCTGCCCTTCCAGAGGAACCGTGGACATGATCTTCACTGCACGACAGCTCCAAGAAAAATGCAGGGAACAAAATCAACCTCTGTACATGGCATTCATTGACCTTGCAAAGGCATTCGACACAGTGAATCGCAGCGCTCTCTGGACCAGCCTCCAAAAAATCAGGTGCCCAAACAAATTTGTGAACATCCTGCGGCTCCTCCATGATGACATGATGGCAACAGTCTTGGACAGCAGTGGCTCCCAAAGTGACCCATTTAAGGTGGAATCAGGAGTCAAACAGGGATGTGCTATTGCCCCAACTTTATTCTCCATCTTCATCGCTATAATACTTCATCTTGTTGATGGGAAGCTTCCCACCGGAGTGGAAATCATCTATCGGACAGATGGCAAGCTATTTAACCTCAGCAGACTGAAAGCCAAAACCAAGGTTACAACAATATCTGTTATAGAAGTCTAATATGCTGATGACAACGTTTCTGTGCACATTCAGAAGAAGACTTACAAGCCACTCTAAATACCATCGCAGAAGCATACGAGAAGCTCGGCTTGTCATTAAACATCAAGAAAACCAAAGTGCTCTTCCAGCAGTCACCAGCCAATCCCTCTCCAATGCCAGAGATACAGCTTAATGGTATAATATTAGAAAATGTTGACCATTTCCGCTACCTTGGCAGCCACCTCTCCACAAAAGTCAACATTGACACTGAAATACAACACCGCCTGAGCTCTGCGAGTGCAGCTTTTTTCTGAATGCAGCAGAGAGTGTTTGAGGACTTAGGGACTGCCTGTAAACCAATTGAATCAAACTTAGAGTGGCATCATATTGCTGCTGCTACTACCATGCTCTACCATACTTGTTATATATGGAGAGAACAGGGAATAAACAATAAAGGTATAATATGAGTGAGAGCTAATATAGAGTCAACATTGACACTGAAATACAACACCGCCTGAGCTCTGCGAGTGCAGCTTTTTTCCGAATGAAGCAGAGAGTGTTTGAGGACCAGGACATCCGTAGGGATACCAAGGTGCTTGTTTATAAAGTTATTGTCCTCCCAACACTGCTGTACGCCTACGAGACGTGGACTGTCTAGAATGATTCCATCAGCGCTGCCTCTGAAAAATCCTGCAAATCTCTTGGGAAGACAAGCGGACAAATGTCAGCGTGTTGGAAGAAGCAAAAACCACCAGCATTGAAGCAATGGTCATCCACCATCAACTCCGCTGGACTGGCCATGTTGTTCAAATGCCTGGCCACTGTCTCCCAAAGAAGTTGCTCTACTCCAAGCTCAAGAACGGAAAATGTAATGTTGGTGGACAGGAAAAGAAATTTAAATACGGGCTCAAAGCCAGCCTTAAAAACTCTGGCATAGATACTGAGAACTGGGAAGCCCTGGCCCTTGCGCACTCCAGCTGGAGTTCAGCTGTGACCAGCAGTGCTGTAGAATTTGAAGAGACACAAATGTAGGGCCAAGAGGAAGGTGCGTCATGCCAACCCCGAGACTGCCTTCCACCTGGAAACCAATGCCTTCACTGCGGGAGAAGATGCAGATCAAGAATAGGGCTCCACAGTCACCTACAGACCCACCAGAACACTGATCCTGGAAGACTATCCTACTCAGACAACAAGAGATCGCCTAAGTAAGTAAGTAAAGTACACTACCATATCAAATCCAGATTATCTGCTTTGAACTCGATTATATGGCAGTGTAGAAGGGGCCTGCGGGATGTCCTGCGAAAATAAAGTTATTGAAGGTTAATAAACCTTTTCCATGTTTTTATGACAGATCCAATTAGGACATGACATAGATAACCCAGGAACGAAAATGGTTATATATGGTGTTATGATGATGTTTCTCACTTCGCATCTGTAGCAAGATCTCTTTAATAGCCATGGCTCAGTGCTATGGACTCACAAGAGCGGTCACTCCGCAAACTGTATTGATTATTCTGCATGATGACACTGAAAACTGGGAAGCCCTGGCCCTTGAGCGCTCCAGCTGGAGGTCAGCTGTAACCATCAGTGCTGTAGAATTTGAAGAGGCACGAATGGAGGGCTAAACTTGTCCAAACGCATCTACCCCTATGTCCCACCTCGTAATCTAAGATCATCCGGTGAGGCCCTGCTCTCGCTCTCGTCTACAGCACAAATGCGCCTGGCGGGGACGAGAGACGGGGCCTTCTCAGCTGTGGCCCCCCACCTATGGAACACTCTCCCAAATGAGGTAAGATCCGCTCCCTCCCTCCTGGCTTTTAGGAAAAAATTAAAAACATGGTTTTGGGAACAGGCCTTCGGGCGGTAGAAACAAATCTATGCAGCATTTCGGAAAGGCAATGACTGGAACGGCGATTCGACAGACGAGACCGTTTTACTGTTTTAATGATTGTTTTACTGTTTATGGATGTATTTTAATTTGATTTATATCTAACTGTAATTGTATAATTGTAATTGTTTGTGCTGGCATTGAATTTTGCCATTACCTACGTGGAAACCGCTTTGAGTCCCCTTCAGGGTGAGAAAAGCGGTATACAAATGTTGTAAATA